TCACAGGATCCAAACCCGAACATTTTGAGGAGCTTGCATTGCATATTGGCGCCCCTGGAAAGACGGGGGAAAAGGCGGCAGAGGTCAAGAGCTCCAGCGCAGGATCCCGCGCGATCGATCCAGCCCGAGCAAGCCGAGAGGACGAAGAGGATCCAGCAGCAGCCTCGCGCCAGCGTTCAACAAACGCTGGCGTTTGCCAGAAGCGCGGCGACAGTCAACTTGCCTGTTGGTCAGCTATCTCGAGATGCCAGCAATGTCCGCCAGAAGGAACCACAGCGCCCCATGCTCGGAGAAAGCGTCGATGGCACAGCGCACGAGATAGGCGCAACTGAAAGATCGGACGCTTGCAACCTGCGGACCGACCCGCGCGCGCAAAGAGAACCACCCTAGACGGGCGAGTGAGCAGCGGGAAACTTCGTAGAGAGAGGCGAAGGAGGCATGCTCGACGCGAGAGAGAGGGGGGCCGGGAGAGCTGGACAGATTTCAGGGACAGGAGAAAACTGGGCGACATACGAGAGGTTTCAGACGGCGCGGCTAAAATGCGTTATACGATGGATGCTGGAGCGCCGACCTCAGCAACCCGAGCGCAGCGCGACGACTCTTTCGCGCGCGGCTAGCGCGCGCAGTTCCGCGAAACCCCTCAGACCTGAAGTCAACTGAGGACACGTCGAAGAAGCAACTGCCTTCACGGATCCCCAACTGGGGACATTGTTCCGAAGCCAGAATTTGCACTTGGAAACGGGAGGGGGGGGAGGGGCCCAGCCATGGGGGCCGGGGAGCACTTGGCTCGCTCAAAGGCGAGACGCGCGAGGGCCCCGCCGCAGTCAATCACCACCTTCAGATGACGCAGCTCACGCGACCGGTCCGGCATCGTCAGCGCATGCTCGCGAGAGACTGAGTTGCGTGCTTTGGGCTCTCTCCAGAAAGTCCCCCCGCGGCCCCTCGAGAATGGATCGCCCAGGAAAAAAAGGTCGACTGCCAGCGGCACAGAGCACGGCAGAACCGAGCTAGCCCTGGATGATGCCAGACACGACGTCAGACAAATAGCTGCAAATACTGCAATAAGTGCCAAGGCATATGATCAGAGCATATAGATGCCCATTAGAAGGCTGCATTGGAAGGGGAATGCCCAAGGCCGCCAAGGACATCATGACCCATGAGTGGGCCAGTGACGGGATGGCCCGGCCGTGGTCGAGGAAAATCAAGGCTGGAAGCCGGACGGCTGCATCAGGGAGCATCGAGCCCATCCAGGACGCGACGTCGAGCCCGAGAACGCCAGACCCGAAGTTCCCCCCGCCCCCGAAGCCCCGCTGCGAGGGGCGCATTTATCTCCGAGCCGAGGGGCGAGACATTCCAAGACAACCCAGTGACGAGCTTGTTCGGGGACTGTTCGAAGCCGCGGTGTCTGACTCGCCCTGGCTGTCTGGAGACAATTTATGATCTTGAACCTCATCTCCTTTCGCAACACAGACTCCGGAACATCCTTAGAGGCAGGTGACAGAGTTTTGCCAGTTAAGAGACACTAGAGAACCCCGTCGAGGAGACTCAGAGCCCGCGGGCGACGTCTCCCAGCGATAGGGGAGCCCATCGAGCCCAGGGTCGCTGTCTTCAGCGGGATCGATACGTCTCGGAAGGGATGGTGTCGGACACATCCTTGGGCAGCAACACGGATGGCCACTTTTCGGGCAAAAACAGAAGGCCGAAGATTCCCCAGCAATCGCAATGCGTCAGCGACGAGCGTCGCGACCACCACGTCGCCGACGGTCGGTCAAATGTCCCTGCAGGACCATCCTGCGGTCAAGGGGCGTCTAGAGGCGGCCCCTGCGAACTGCGCCTAAGGCGACAACGCGCTTTGGCTCGACTCTGCTCGTCTCCCGCGCTCGAGATCTCAAGTCGCTGCCTGGCTTCTCTTTGCACGGCCATGGCGCGGTGGATTTTTCTGCCCCGCCGCTGGAACTCAGGCGGGTCGATCAGCCCCAGCGCCCCCGCCGGCGAGTCGACCATAATGGATTCCTTGTCTAAATTGCGCGGCCGCCAGATGCGCCGAGCGAGTCGGACGCCCTGCCCCCAGATGCAGATTCCAATACCCTTGATAACCGACAGCCGACACAAACTTCACGACGGTGAATTTCGGAGCAAGGAGTCTCTAGCGATCTCGGTGGCCTCGCGCATCATCTCGGTGTGAAACGCCAATCTCCGGGGGGGGGGTCAGCCTGCCCTGGCCACATTTCGCCTCGATGGCCTCCAGGAGCCGACCATGCACAGGGCGCTCGCAAACTCCAAGGGGGGACAGATCTCTCGGAGGTGGGAATCGGGCGCGCAGGCCCAAGCGCGACCAGAACCGGAGCATGATCGGATATCCATTGATTGCTCAAGATGCCAGGATATCCCGCCACTGCTTCTTCGATGGACAGCCGCAGGCACATCAGCCGAGGAACAAGATACTCACTGCGTGGAGCTCCCCATATGTGCATCCTTTTTGAGAATAAATTAATAAAACTGTATATGGGATATTTCAATGAGCGTCTAGCCATGTGAGCCATATGTGCATCTCATGTTGTATGGTAGTGCTATGGCGAACGTATGTATTTGATAT